GTGACGATTCATAAGACTCCGAACGAGGGCGCTCCTCTGCTGGGTGCGGGCCTGAATGACAAGGAAAACATGACGTTTGTGGGGCTGTCGTACACCACGGAGAAACAGTGGGTAACAGTCTTCGACGGCGCCACGAGAATAATGCGCAACAGCACTTGGGAGCCGGGGAAGGAGTACAAAGTGGCGCTCATGCTGCAGTACAACAAGGGCTCCGTGTACGTGGACGGCGTGCTCGTGGGGAATACTAACAAACTACCAACCCTTAAGTCACGGAGGCATGATATCTCTCATTTTCACTTTGGTGGCGGCGAAGACACCAGTGTGACAGTAAATAACGTCTTTTTGTACAGCCGTCAGCTAAGTGAAGATGAACTCAAAGCAGGTGACAGCTCACATGTATCCGAGCAACGTGCAGGTGACGGCGCACATGCATCCGAGCAACGTGCAGGCGACAGCTCCACGCGTGCGGACGTGTCTCGGCTGCTTCTGCTGCTATTGGGGCTGTGGGGCTTTGCGGTCCTTTGCTGAGTGGACCCCGGTGGAGGGGAGTTTGTGCTTCTACTGAGGGCATCTCCGTTTCTCCACGTGCCCTGTGAAGTGAATATATTCTCATGTGGGCACGCATTTTGTTTTATTTTATGCTTTTTTTTTACTTGTACCCACAAATTGCGTTCTCTCATCGGCTCCAGCACAGCGGGGTCCTCATTTTATTTTGTTTCGTCCTTTTTTTTTTATATTGCTCGCCGCTATCAATGATGAGGCTATTCACCGTTTTGTTTTTTAGTGTATTGGTTCGGTATATTGTTGTTTTACTGCTTTACGGATGTGCTATTTTGTTGGTTTGTTGTTAGCGAGGACGTTGAGCCTGCGTGTTTGCTTGGCAGTGGTAGATTCTTCACTGTGCCCCCGCACTGCGGTCGCCGCGGGAGGGGACCGGGGCTCTCTTTTTTACGTCCTGTTTTTTGGTGGGTGCGGACGTGTGTCACTGTGCTGGCTGACGCGTAGGCCATCGAATTCGTTCGAAAAAAGACGAATAAAAACAACTAACCGCTTCTCTGGGGTGCCTGCGGACGCTCTCGGCATTGTGTGTCCGCCGATGGGAGAAGGAAAGAAGGAACGAAGGAGTGAGAATCACAGCAACGCACTGCGGGTCCCAGTGGAAGTTAAACGGTGTCTGGACACCGGGGGCCTTCAGTGGTTGAAACGAATATATCATTTTTTTTATATATATGCGTCCAGCATTTCAATGCAATTATGGGGATTTTACGAGGGTCTTGAACGGCATTTTTTGTTTGTGAAAACTATTTTAAGAGTAATCTTTTTTTGTTTTGTTGAATCATATCTCATGTGTGTTGGCACTGCGTGGGCTGCGGTGCCACTTCAAGTCTTAGATGTCTTTTTTTTCTAGCTTTGCGTCCTGCATCTCTTCTGTGTGTGTGTATGTGCGTCCTCACACGCGTTTGATCCTCTTTTCTTTTTTTTTAATTTTTGTATCTGCAGGCACGCACGTACGCGACATATATTTACTGCAGTGTACGTGGAGGATGCTTTTTTAGTTGGTGCTGGCAGTGCCGTCTGTGGCTGCTGATGGCTTCTGTGGCTATGAACAGATCGAGACAACGACAAAGGAATGGTGTGCGCTGTGACTCATTCTTCCTTTCCTTGCGAAGGCAGTGCGCTGCGTGTGGGAGTGTTGTTTTGGGTGGCGTCGTGTCTTGCGCACGGTGTGCAATGGCGCAGTGGTGTGGATGCCGCGCTTTTCGATGACTGTTAGCCTACTTCCCGTTTGTGTGTATGTGTGTGGCGGTTTGGTTGTTCGCGTTGGGTGTTTTTGCCACCACTTTCATGCGTTACCGTGGCAGAGCCTTGGGGGGGCGTGCGACCTAAAAAAGAAATGCAGAAGAATGTGTGGGTCTCAATGGGTGGTGCGGTGGCCGCAGAGTGGGGCTGCCGCTTCTGCTCTTGCAACGGGGAATATGCCGCCGCACTCTTTTTGTTGGCTGCGTCGGGGCAAATGTGCCGGCGTCTGACAATCTGTGTGGGTTCCACCACTGCAACGACTGAAGGAGGCGGAGACGTCTGCAGGGTGCCTTCGCAGGCTGCACCCCGTGCGGCCTAGTCGTGTGGCAAACAGTTTACATCGCGGAATTCACGTGCACCGCACCACGTGCTGGGCGCAGCGTAAATTTGCGTCGCGGGGGAGAATGCGGTGGCGTCAATTCTCCTTTTCGCGGGTGAACGAAGAGACGGCGGGTGTTCTGCTCCTTCGCACGTCAGCGAATTGCAGCGCAAAATGCCACCGCGACGAGGCAGTCAATTTCACTGTGAGTGGGTGATATTTGCGTGTGGCTACGCACACACGGAGTTGTGGGGATCCGAATGTGAAGTGCAATACGAGAAGAAGATAGAAGCCTCGTCGCAGTTGTTGTGTGTGCCGTGCAATTTGCACGGTTTGCATAGGGAGATCTAATTTTCCCTCGTTGTTTGTGTGGGTGTGCGCCGCGTGCCGTGTGTGGGTGGCCCTCTCTCTTTTTTGTTGTTGCGGCTGCGTGGGGTCGTGTCTCTGCCTGTTTTTTTTTTATAATTTCATTCTCCCTTTTGACTGCTGGTTGAGTATTGTGCTGCAGTTCAACTCAAGTTAACCACTACGAAGGAAAACATGTCTGAGAGACGCGAGGAAGAATCTCACGCCACCGAGGAGCCCCCGCACAGCGCCGAAGGGTGGAGGGAGCGCCGCAGAGGCCAAGGAGGACGCTATCGAGCTCTATCGAGGATGTCCGTAATGTGCGGGTTGGTCAAAGCAACGGAATTTTGCTGAACGACTTCCTTCGGCAGTACGTTGGCCCCAACAGAGCGGTGGGTGAAGA